TTTTTGACTAACTTGTAGCAGGTTAAGTGCCGCTTATCAATGCCAGCGTGTCTCACCACATAATCAACAATATTGTCACAGGAGACGGTTGGCTCGAAAGACGAAAGGTGCAACCACTTACCACGGGCAGCCACTCCAAGATCACTACAATCATTTGATCCCACCACGCGAGTTCGCTTTTGGATGTGCTTTGTCCTTTTACTCTCAGTAGTAAGCCAAACATTGCTGCGGGTAGGAGAAGGAGGATTAGGCACTTCCGCGGGCGTAGCATTAACAGCATCAGATTCAGCACTAACACCACCAGTCGGTATATGTTGTGAAACAGGTGGCAAACCAGCAGAAGAAATATTGTTCACAATTACAGGAGCGAGTAAAGATGAATTAGCAGCAACAGAAACATTAGCAGTGCACGGTGTTGTTGGCTTCGTGGTGGTAGTAGTACCCGCAAGTAAATTGGCAGTGCAACCTGCGACAGTATTTGTGTCCATGAGGCCGTCAACATGACGTACAGTTTTAGAGCCACTAGAACTAGCAATCCCGCCAGAATCAACTTTGCGAGCGGGAGAGACGACGTTAACACTCTAAGCCGATGTGCGCTCAGACAAGACGCTTTTAGAGCCAAACGAATGAGGGGCAGCGGGAGCCACAACAGCACCAGGCGATGAACTGTAATTATTGTTGTTGTACGAAGTACTAGCACCAAACTCAGCAGCCAACAAACCCACATTAACAGCATTTAAATTGCTTGCATTCGAATTGTTGGTGGAATGCAAAGATAAAATAAGATTTTGTAATGCATCAAGTTGATTAGAAAGATACTACGCTTTTGGGTCCCCATGAACTCGTCGAGAACTTTGCAAAGTTTCTCCGGCATGACAACACAGTCTTCACAGAGATAAATTAAATGCCGGTTAGTTTTAACCAAGTTCATATCGTATTCAGATATGCCTTTACAACACGCACGATGGAATGTTTTCCGGCAAAAACCATTACACGGCACCAAATTCGCGTCAGATCTCGAAAACGCTTTACATTTGCCACAGCAGTTGGCCATTACGAAAGAATAAATAAAATATCGGAGCAAAAAGAAAAACACGTCTGCACACAACGAGAGCTAGAATAGAATTTGAAAGAGCCTTCGACAACACCTCACATGAGGCAGTAGATCGAGCTCTAGAGAAAAGAAACGTAGCCGTCCCGATTCGCAGGTGGATCGGAACAATGCTACGGACCAGATTAGCTGAGACGATAGTAGGAAACAAAATCTTACAGCTCAGAACGGTTAAAGGGTGCCCTCAGGGGGGAGTATTGTCCCCCCTCCTGTGGAGCATATTAGTAGATGAATTACTCGAGTTACTATCCAATAATGGCATAATGTGCCAAGGATACGCGGATGATATAGTAATCATAGCGAGGGGCAGATTTGAGAAAACCCTCTGTGACATAGTACAAAGAGCACTTACCCTAACGAAAAGATGGTGCGGCACAGTGGGCCTCAACATCAACCCCGTCAAAACCGCCATCATTCCGTTTACCAAGAGAAGGAACCTCCCAGGCATGCACCCCGTAACACTGGGAGGTATACAGCTAGAAATATGCAATGAGGTAAAATATCTGGGGGTCATTCTTGACTCCAAAGTCTCATGGAAAAAGCATGTTGAGTGTAGTGGCATCACCAACATTACGGCAGCACTATTCAGCGCCGTCAA